AAGTGAGAACAAAAGATACATTCATACTCATACTGACACGTGGAAGTACAAGCTTTCACTCCTTATCCTCTACCCACATTCCATGCACATACTCTACTAAATTATGGATATATCTAAGTGATTCTACAGTGAGACTGATCACTTTGTATTGCATGAAACTCAGTATGTTTCATTTGAGAAAAGTTTTCTATCAAGTTGAATATCAGTAATGTTCTACACCATAAAATTTCGTTCGAGAGTCTTCAATCGAATTACACTTGGAATGATCGTTTGTGTTTCGTTTCGAGTATTTTATGTCTATTTAATCGGATCGAAACTGTTCAGAACTTTTTTAAAGAAAAACGTCTGCCAGCTATTGGTTAAGAATCAATGATATTAAAGTATAATTTGTTTCACTTCCAAAGTAGAACAGATCAATTGTTTCATTGTCTTTAAAAAAATTCGCCAATTTCAATCAGAAGAATGCTCGATCTGAGATTCCATTATCTCACAGTCAGTCTATCTTAGCCTGATGAATATAATATCAGAAAAATTCAATAGAATTTCTTTTTTAATATTTATAGACAATTCTCAGACATATGTTTTAAAAATACGTATAAAATAATCTCTTGTCACAAAGATAAATGAAAAAAGACAAAACACTAAGAATGCGATCCGTCGGATAAACTACAAGTGTTTATTGAGAAAACTGATAATTGAGTTTGTTCATCATTCTCGAAACGAGTAGAAAGTCAACCGAAGTAAAAGTCGTTGCGCAAGAAATTTTGTACGCTGGAGCTAATCGAACTAGTGCTTTGACATCAGTGGTATGGGCATGAGGGTTTAGCGGATCAATCAGAAAGATGAGAATGTCAAGTTCGTCTAAGACAATATTTGCTCTCAACTGTTGATCACCACTTATGGAACAATTGAAAAACTGTGTTACAGGTACATTCAGTTCTTTCTCGACCATTTTGCCTGCTATATCCGTAGCATAAAGCTAGCGTTTAAGAAGTATTGCGCCATGCTTTCTAAGACACTTAATCAGTGTTGACTTCTTTTGACCATCAGCAGTTCATCCAGTTCGTTTATATATACCTATAACCTTGTCAAACAGACATTTTCTCATAACTTTCAAAATGTCAGAGACTTACTATTTGTCTGTAAATATAATTAGGTATCTACTTTTTTCGATGATTGTCTTTTGTCCATTTGATTTCCGCTCGATAGTTTTAACGTAGTTGACAAGATATTGTTCGTTTATCTTTCCTTATCCAAGGGGTAGTCAACATTTCAATGGGTTCTTCGTTGAAAACTAAATTTAGACCCAAATTAATCTTTTGACGAAATTTAAAACAAAAATTTGAAAGACATGCTGTTGCCCCAAAAAACAATCTGCGATAACGTGCTGTAAAAAAAAGAGAAAATCAGATTTCTTGGGAAGCATAGTCATCAGTATTTATTTTTATCTTCCATAAGTTCGATAGAAAATACACTCATGGAGCAGAGACTAACAGGACGCGAATCAATAGGGACCATCAGTGGATCCCATCCTCTTCTATCGGTGAGTAGACTATAGATGAAGGTGTGTGCGAATTTCCAGACATGGTGTTCGGAATGTCAATATAAGACCGACCTCCATGGCCTTGTCTCAATATTCCGAACTATAAAGATGTATGAGTATGAAGTTAGGTATCCATCTCATTACAGTCTATTCACTCAAAACCTTTAGTTTAGCGGCGAATGGGTACTGCGAATTCATTAGGTGAATATCCTAATAGCTATATTATGAATCTAGATACTTGAGTTATGGATATTAGGACATCCATTAAACTTGCTGTGAAATTCTCTCAGAACTCATTCCAAAAACAAAACTCAGCATATGATGTCATTGGTTGGCAATATGGGCTAATGCAAAGTGTGCAAATTTTAATTACACAATAGAGTGGATGTAACAATGAAATGAAATATTTTTAGTTGTAATCAATCATCTATTAACTCGTCTAATCTGAGCAAAATCCGCAGATGCATAGAGAAACAGGAATTTCTTCATCATGACGATAAAAAAAATGGCTTAACATCAACAGACAAGATAAACAGACTTATATTATAAGCGATTCTATTCAATCAGCATAGTTTATTCATTTCCGAGGTGATTGAAAAGTTTTTTGAATCTCCCATTGTATCACTGTTAGACTTTTAAGTCTTCTAACAATGTTGAGCGTTTATATATATATCCAATTGATCATTTTTTGCTTTCTTTTGATCCAACAATCTTCACAATTTCCAATGCCTATTCTTGCCGTGAAAAAAATACAATAATTTCAATAGATCTTAGAAAAATTAATCGTCAAATAAATCAACAACAGATCCTTGTTGTGATAAGAGTGTGAGTGACGTAACATAAATTTATTTACATTTAACTAATGACGAGCTTCTCGCTAAAGTAGAAATGATCATCAACAAAAGAAGAAAACTCTTCAAATTTCTACGATTGCATAGGTGTTTGAAACATATGATGAAAAAATATACGGGTAACTATGCTATATTTCAAGTAGTTCAGAATCAAATTTAAATTTTGAGAAAAATAACTTATTTAAGAGTTAAACAGATTGATAATAGAAACTGGCATAAACGTGCACATATAAAGGAAAAAAGTAGTAGAACGTCTTTAGAAATATCCTACTTTTCATGATTCTTAAAAAATAACTTGTCATTCTATTAAAAAATCAGAGCGATCTATAAATATAAGCCTTCACATTAGGCGTGTTCACATAATTACTAGTCATCGGACTAAAGATTCGGCATTTTGACGCATCTCTAAAAACAAATCCGTTCGAATATGTTGGTTTTTGCTCAAAAAAGATGATCTTTCCGAGTTAGTACACTTTTCTGCCTTTAAACACGGCAAAACCTATAAATTTTGCCGTGCAAACGGGTGAAAACACAAAAACTTATAAGAAATTCGACACTATTGGACGTGTTCAGGTATATCTGACGCGATTTTTCAAGAAGTTTTGTCCGGCTGCATAATAATTAATAGAAAAGACAAGCTAAAGAATCTTAGTCAATCCTAAATCTAAAATTATGATTTGTGTGTTTTAATTTTATTCAGTCATTAGCGTTATTCACTGAAAACAATAGCCACTGCTTTTGCTGCTACATTACTTGCAGTTCGATCTGCGCAAATGTGAGTTTGTGAATTAGATGTGCAGCAGTCTCAGATAAGTGGGTACCATTTTATGAGCCATATATTGAGTATGATAGATGCCTAACATGAATGATAATTCTTAGTCATAGAACAACGATTGATGGAAACTAAAATGAGAACACTGAATGCATATTCGGTGTGAAGTTGAACTTGGACATACTCATGATAAAGATGTTGTGCACAATTGAACCTATTATCGAAAATTCACTAGGATTACCAAAATTTCCTAACATGCACACAACATTTATTTATTATTTATTTTCAAGGCACGTGTTCAACGTTTATAAAAGATAAAGATCAAAAGAAACCAAAAACTACGAATTGAATTTCGATTTGTTTGATCAAACAAGTAGAGAGAAAATAATATTTTTCCACGGAGATACCTCTTTGATTTCAAATAGATCAAAGAATAAATTTTATGTCAAATAAAAGTTCGTTGAAAATGAAACTTATCAGTATGAAATAGTCAAGATTATTAAAGTTTTTCAATATCAAATTTAGGAAATTTATCCAATTTTACGCTTTATCGGTATAGAAAAATTTCTATCATGAGGGAGTTCAAACTAGATCTAATTGAAAATAATGAATATCATAAATTAATAGACACATGTATTGGAAATATTGAAACAAAATAAAAGATAAAATTGAAAAACTCTATCAGAGACGAAACGTAACTGTTATCACAAAAGAACTCTGAAATCATTTAATTAGTTCGACAAACATGGAAACTAACATTGATTTATTTGTAACTCTTTTATTGTCGTCTTCCTCTCGTCTATATGCTATACAGGACGTTCATGGTCGTCATACTGATTATTACATGTATTTATCGAACTTTAAAAAAAAAATAAGTGGTATCTGGTAGTATTCATCGTTTTAAAACAGATCTTGTTTACTCGATTTGAAATCATGAAGGTACTTCCTCGCCCTTGAAAACTATTATTTTCTACCTATAGCAGTTGGATGATTTTGTTGTGCATAGAAACATGCTTCAACATTATATCGATCAGTTATATTCATTGTACTTTTGCAGATTGAAACAGATTGGATTTCTTCTATGCTATGAAATAGTCAAAATAGATTAAAAAAGCGAAAAAAAAATTTGACAAAATATTCTATATATCAGAATAAACTTTCATTTAAGGTTTGCTTTTTCCAAATCATAAAGGAAGATCATGAAAACATGTTATATTTTTTTTATACTCGATTTTCTGAGAATCACAACGATCGATTCACTTCAGACTGTGGTTTCGTCAACGTTAGAATCTTGCGGATGACATCGACTGAATTTCTTAGTAATCAATCACATTTGATTAATATATTTCTGAAGTTTTATAATCACGAAAAAAGTCGCACACTAAATTAGTTTCAACTTGTTCTTGTGGTTTGAAAGCGCCAAAAATATTTAACTACATAAAATATTCAAAGAATAAAGTGTACAATCAATAAATTGTTAATGTTAAATCTTCTATCGACAAAAATCCAGTATGTTAATTGTTATGCAGACCAATATATAGTATAGTCATCTTGGAAAAAAAGAATTTTTACGTTAAGCAATTTAGGTTAAACTTTTTTTAATATTTTCAGAGAAGTATCAAGGAGAATTTAGCTAATATTTAGTTTTTGACGGAAAGATATTTGATTAACTCAGATCCCAACTGTTTCTCGCATTCTAAAATTTTACAACAATAAAATAATGACGAGATTAATGCATAATCATCTACACGAATGGAATTGACACATAAACTTTTTAAAGATAATTAAATAAATATAAAAGAGGAAAGTAAAAGATGATTTCATTATAAAATGTCTAACATTTCTTGCCCTTGCCTTCATCTTGTTGGTTTCCAATACGTGTTTTTAAATTTGATACGATTTCAACACGATAAAACTATAGATAGTCTTATTTTTAAAATTGTTATTTAAATAATGATCCATGAGCATCTTTTAATTAAATAAAAACATGAATACGAGCGCAACAATGTGGTTAGCATGAAATCTCCTTGATAATATGAACAATTTGATTCTTCAATAACTTTAAAACAAATATTCTTTACAGTATAACATTTATTTTATCACGTGATAGATTGTCGACAGCTTGTGATTTGCAAACACGATGTCTTTGTACTTCTGTTTCTTTTTGAATTGATGATCTGTATAAATTCAAAGAAAGTGACATTGATCAGCATGTGTTGCCGAATTTGGAAAAATGCTCAAGCATTAAGTCCATATTGTGATATTGAAGTGCAATGAACGTATCATGTAAAAGTTTTTGGAAAAGTCACGAACACTTAAGGCAAAATTTACGTTAAAAGTTTCTTCTAGCCGTATGGTCAAAAAATATTCTTTCACAGTGTTTTGTTAGCAATAAGCAAAATATCGGTGAAATTTGCATGTAAAAATATTGATGAATCTATACGAATTTTACAGGATTGTAATAATGCTGTTTTATGAATATATATGAAACGATAACAACGCGGAATCTATGATACTGCCCATACAAATGCATCACAGCTCTTACATCACTGACTTACAATAAGGAGGAATACAAACACCGAGCTGAAAAATAGAAAGAGCTTCGCAATTCATCCTTTCAGTATTATCCGAAACAATACCATAATATTTTCTACATGATTTTTTTAGAAATTCAATGCAGAATTTAATCGAGAAAAAATCAACACTACCGAATAAAATGAACACGAATAAGTTACAAAAAAAAATTGTCGCAACCGTTTCGAGCTGCTTTTTTTTCAAACACATTTCTCTGTTACTCAATAAAAAAAGATATGATGGAATTGTTTTTGAATACACATTTTAAAAATACTGCTCTATGTAGAGGTTCCGAATAGATTATCTCAATTGTACCACAGTATGCTTTAGCCAATGAAAATTAAAGTTATATTGTTCCAGGAACTTTTTCACCATCTGTTAGTTGCTTTCTAAAAGAGTTAAATATTTTTTTTCTCTGGTTATCAGTCAGAGATAATGTATATTTCAGAAAAGAACATGAAAAAAGAATAAATGAGTATTGATGAATCATTCACTTATATCAGGAAAACTGTAGAAACAAAAAACAATAAACCGGCAAAAAAAATAGTTAAACAAGCGATATGCTCAGTAATTTTTCATTCTCAACTATTGTCTAAATACATACATATCTAACAAGGTTATTTGCATTTTACAAAGAAAATTTTGGAATAAAATAACTATTAAAATTCTTTCTCGATAAAGATAAATACGGAAGAAAGAAATTAGAAATAAACACAAAAAGAAAAATAGTCGTTTATGTGTAACATGTAAATTTTCAATGTTCAAAATAAGAACAAAATTGTTTTTATCACAGACTGACACCCACACATCCACAGACGGAGACAGATACAGTGTGCCAATAAATGTTTTATTTCTGTAACAATCATCATAGTTCTTCCATGGTCGTTATTCTTGCAATTAGGAGAGCAAATAATAATAGAAAAAGTGTGTGTATCAATGTAGATGACGAATTGTTAGATTTCAAATCGTAATAACGTGCTGTTGGATCTTCTATATAAAGTTTAAAAGAAATAAATATATTTTTAGTTTTTTATATAATATTCTTTTATTTCCTACTTAATATTCGATATGAGCTTAATGCGTGAACTCCACCTTGACTACATACATAATCTATTTTTTCAAGGGTATCATTAAGAATTGTATGATTGATATAAATAAGTATCAATGATGAATTACAAATATTAACACTCAGATATTCTTGTTTATTTGTGCGACATCGATTGATAGTATTATCAACCATAAGAATTATACCTGATGGTTTAATGTAATCTGTTTTAACTGATAAATAAATATTATCATATTTTGATGGTTCAATTATTTGACAACGAACTTCAATATTTTCAGGCGAAAAACCATAATTTGGATAAACAGATAATTGAATAATAGGACTATCATGGATTGAAACCGTTCGATCAATAAAAATGAATAAAAAGTAAACTACAATAGAATAAAAGATTATGCTCATCTCTTTTGATATTTTTCCTAAAATTTGATTGTATTCATTTATGTTTTAATGATACATTCAATATATATATATATATATTTATTTATTTATTTACAATCAGATTAAAATTATATTTGACTATGAAAATAACAACAAATTATCATTTCGAAAATTCATGAATTATTCTTTTGATATTCCTTTTTCTTAGATTAGAGTATGATGAAACTTGACATAAGATTTCCGATATAAAAATATATTCTGTCTACTTGTTTTAAAGTAGGAATTGCATTAATTTCAAATGTTTGCCATTGATCTTTTCTTTTTCTCATGATAATTTGATACAACAATCGACTGACCAAAATGAAATTAAGAGACTCTCATATTAATGTCCACTTATGTTTTTTTTTAAAATAAGAAAATCATAATCTCAACTTACTATTGAATATAAATAGTAACAACGACTGTGGCATTTCGTTGTCGTCGTCTTTGGCTTTTGGTGATGGCGTCGAATCGTCAAATGATTACTCTTCTAGAAAAAGCAAATGAAAAAAGAATGCATCTTCTGTCTGTGACATTTATGCAAATGAATTGTCTCTATTTATATCATTATGTGTTTTGTATATTCACACATATCATTAAGAAATCAACACATGCTGACTGGCTTCTCACCGTATAAGACGCTTTTTCTGGATAGAAAACATTCTATGCTTATGACTATTAATATACAGTAGATGTGAAACCCTTGAAAATGAAATATGTGTATTTTTTATAGTAAGAGCGAAGAATAATGAGTGTTCAAGTTCAAGCGTGCGATGAAGCAGAAGAAAAGATGAGATATACTTTGAACAAGCATAAACGAACATTAGACAATTTGTCAGTAAGAGAGGATTACATAAGGACATTTTTTTTCTTCTTCTTCCTTTTTAGTTGTATATATATATATATATATATATATATGTATGTATGTATGTACTGTGCTTCTTTCACACTCTCAATCTCATCCTCAAAATGTTAACTAATGCAATAATCAAGTGGGAAGAAAACTTAGATGAAGGGCGAACGTGCACATGAAATTGAACGAGAAAAGAACGAAAAGCAACTGAAAGAAGAGAGACAACAGAACTAGATTGAATGAATAAAAGATGGAAATGCAATCGTTCAAATTGAGATGAAGATACACATCTATCTTATACATTGATATGAATTCACAATATTGTTCATTAGTTTATTAATTTACAACTAAGTTATCTCATTTGGATAATCGCTTCTGGGGAAATTAGTGCTGGCGACAATAGATGAAAATATATAAATAACACAGATGGACAGATAGAAGGTTAATCAACAGAACAACTAAACGAACGTTAGTACAACAGTATATTACGTATGAGTAACATTTACCAGATGGTTAAATAATGTAAGTCACCCATTATAGAATATAGAATCAACTAGTAAGAAGCACATAGATATTTATTCAAGAAAATAGATAAATATTTAAAAAATTTATTTAATCAGTAAAAAGGTAAAACAAAAACTATGTTTAATTATTATCTATCTAATTAAATTCCATAAATAACGAAAAATAATAAAACACAATGTCATACACATGCATAAACACAACGACAGGAAAAAAAACTACCAACCTATTCGTCTTTATGGATAGGTTGAAACAAAAAACCAATCAAAATAAATAAGTGAAGCCCCTACATTAAATTATAATAGACTACAAGCAATCATGTTATATATGATATATATAAATATAAAAATCTAAGTGAGACACCTAAAATAAGTTTGATATGCTATTCTGAATCAATTTTATATAAACTTTAAATCAATTTCTACAACGTTCACTTAGCCATATAGGCTCATTGAATTGAAGTTAGTATGTGTAATCAATTATCGCTAAAATAATATTCAATGAGTGTATACAATTTACTATCCATTGATTAGTTTTTCAATTTTAAGTGGTTTTTTTCGAAAAAAATACCATTTTCGCTGTGTAGGACTGACTGTCAGTTGATTACATAAAATTTTTTTTTCCAACCAGCGTTGTTTTTATATCAGGATTTACTTTCCGTTGATTATTTCGTAGAAGAAAAAGAAACAAATGAGTAGCCATTGCGACAATCAATTTACTGTCGGAACAAAATTCCAATCAATGTTCCAAACTTAATATAACACCACGTACTATTACTTATATGAAAGATCGACATTCTCGAATAAAAAAAAACATATAAATTTTCTGCGTCTTAATATCTATATTGTGATTGATTTACTACACAAAGAATAATCGTTAGCATTGATTGCAAGAATGCGAGATTACAAGGAGTTCTGTCTCCATCACCTCGGAAACATAAAATCAAAACAGGCGAATGTAAAATAAAATTGTGACAACGTTATGATGAAGGTCGTATTTATATTCCAACATTCTTGAAAGCTGCTCAACTGTGATTTTTTCAACTTCTATCAATAAATGAAACAGCCGACTCTCTGTTTTGTTGATACTAGTTGTTCATAAATTTATTGGGTTTTTATTTGTTCTCGCAATACATTGATTGTCGCAATAATTATTTATTTGTTCACTTCTCTTCTTCGAAATAATCAACGAACAGTAAATTGTACACACGATTCAACGATGTAGAAGATTCACGATTGCCTATTCATGAATAAAACTATAGTAATGGAATCATCAATGGTTCATCAATTGAGAATTCTTCTATAGGTTTCTATTTTTATGACTTTTTTAAACTAATTCAGAGATTGAAATTACAAAACACTCTGTTCGGTTCCTTGAAAAAGTATAGAACGAACCTTTTTAAAGATAAAAATTTTTGAAAACATAGACAAACAGGATAATCGATTATTTACTATGCTGATTTTTTTGTCTTGAAATCTTTTCAATGTGATAATTCTCTTAAATGTCATATTTTATCATATCGGACAATGACAATATGTTCCAGTCCATAAGTAATCAATGTCTGTATGTTCATTTTATCTTTTTCTTTCTCGTTTTGTAGACAACAGATGGAATAATGAAGGAGTAACAATTATATAGTGAACGAGAAACAGACCATTGAATATATGTGCTTATGTTGTTGATCATGTTATTCAATCCTTTACATTCAGTGTTTAATCTAGATTTCATTTTTTCAGCGAGGCCATTTAAAGCTACGAGAGGTGCACATCTATTTTTGGCAGTACAGACATATAGTATGTGGTATCATAACCACAAATTTTTACTCCTTTCAAAGGAATAAAACATTGTTCGAGAAGCTAACAGAATTATTTTCAACGCAGATGGATTATCAAATCAAAGTACATTTTTGACAGATCAAAACAAAAATATAATTGAACCAATGATGGTCGATGAACAGATCGTTTACCGACGTTTTTCCATAGGATATATCAAAGGTGCTATGGAAAAGATTGATTTACATAAGTATGAATAGCATCAAATTACAACGATCGACTTTTTTTAATTTGTATTTTGACTTACACTTTTATCTAGAATATAGTGGTAGCCAACGATATATTAGCATTGTTTTCAATGAGAATGTGGAGTAAGTGCTAGTTAAGGTCTTTTTCTCATCGATATTCACATCTACATCAAAACAGATATACAACGAAAAGTAGAATGTTCATGAACTCCTTAAAAGTATAATTAATGTCCACAAGAGTACGATAGTCTGAATTAGTTTGTGGAGTGTATCGAAATTGATACCGAAATGACCTTCTGTAGATTCTTGTCTATCTTGCCGTGTTAAATGTTGATCAATAATTGTTTCTAACGATTCATTTCTTTCGTATGATCGATTAATTAGTTGATGCAAAGCCTCAATATTCCTGGCATGTTGCTGCTGTTGATTGACAAAAAGTTGTGTTAATTGATCAACGTGTTGTAGAAGTTGCTTTGAGATGTCATGATTTCGCTCTTGTTCTTGTTGTCTACGAGTTATTTGCGCTAATTGTTCGTTTTGATTAAAAAATTGTTGTCGAAGATAAGCATTATCTTGTTGTTGTTCTTGTTGAACACCAACAATCGATGTCAATTGGTCATGTTGATTCGTCTGGCGTTGCAAAAGATGAACGTTATTTTGTTCTTGCCTTCGTTGAAAACGCACAAATGCTGCTAATCTTTCGTCTTGATCGAGAAGATGTTGTCGCATATTGGCATAATTTTCTTGTTGAACTCGGACATCTTCTGCTAAACTTTTATTATATTGAAGAAGGTGTTGTATAAGATGATCATTGTCACTTTCTTGTTGTTGCCCATCGTCAACAACATTGAATTGGCTATTTTGAAACGATTGCAAAGTTTCTGGAGAAAATTCTTGAATAAGTTGATGAAGAACTTTTCTAAAGTCGTTTTCCTTGAGATTGTCTCGGCGAAGAGGGCTTTTTTGAATTGATACAATATGCTCAGAAATGATCGCTTTAAAACGATCGCAGAAGTTTGTATCATTGAAATTTGATGACGTAATTGTAGTTAGCGAACTGACTCGATTGTTATTTGCTTGTGTAGGTAACCTATCTCCGGTATTCAACACAATGACTACAAAAGTATATGAAAACCGATAGAAAACATATAATTTACTTGATATCATACCTAGTTCTCTTTCAATAGAATTGATTTCATCAATCAATTTCTTGAATGATTCTTCAAACTTAGCTTCATCGAAAAATTCAATGTGTTTTCGGTCACTTTTATAAGCTATTCACATATTGTATTTCTTTCTCTCCATCGAAAATTAACAATATAATAAAATGAACAAGTTGATTATATGTGAAAAAATCATTAATAATACCAAGACCACCGATCGGACGAAATCCTTCTTCCATGATGCATGGAATAATTGGAATTCTTCTTTCAGTCGCATATTTGGCTTCTGAAAATAAATCTTATGATTATTATAATGAAAACTAGTAAACATTAATAACTCACCCATTAAACAAAATTCACTATTTGAGTATCCATTATTCAAGCATAAAATAAGAATAGATGAATTATCAACTGCTTTTCCCATTCCATCAAGTATGCTACCATGTAGATGTATTTTGTCGAACCATACATTATAGTTTCTTGCCTATTTATGAAACTCAGCAGATATATTTCAGAGAATTTAATTATTCATAAATTTTCTTCTACTTACCTTTAGACCATCATAGATTTTCTGACAAACGTTTGATGCTGTAGCTTGATTATAGCTTATCATAATGTGCTTTTGATTCTGGGATTGCTGTTGACTATTTTCTTCAGTTGTAGTACTCGTTTGAGATTCTAGAATATATGCAACAGAAAGTAAAAATGACTTTGATGCAAATTGTATCGTCAGCATACGCGTTGTTGGTGCATTATGCGGTTCAACAGTGCTACTGGCTGTTGTTGTATTGTTTTCTGAGATGTTTCTATTAGTAATAGGAAGAACAGCTTGATCAATCGGACTTGAGTCTGGTAGACTTTCATCTGTTGTTGTTTCAAGGACTTTATTCACAGTCGAATGTCCTTGGCGAAGAAGAGCATCTAAAGAGCCAAGAAAATTAAAGAAAATCAATTTTTAATTCATTCTTCTCACTTGTTTCGTCGTCGACGGATATAGACATCTTATAATCACTATCGCTGGATTGTTCGATGGAACTACAAGTATTTGATGGTAATAGATTGCGACGAGAGGATTCATTGATAATGTCTACATACAACATTTGTTAAAATGATTGACATAGAAAGTGACTTACTACCATTCGATTGAACAGTTACATTTGTACTCCTTGCGACATCTTCCATTTCCTGTTTAATCAAAATTCGTTTGTTCATCACTTGTTCTTGATTATTAATAGCTAACGGTACCTGTTCTCTACTGGAAGCAGACGATTCAGCATTTTCTGATGTCAGATCTTCTTCTCTGTTTGAAGAAGACAATGTTGACGATGATGATGACGCCATATTTTCTCACTGCGAATAAAGAAGTAACATGCACACTGTCCTGTAACAATAAAAAGAATAAGGTAAGTTAATAACAAATATGTCTGATAGTAAAAAAGATTTTTTTTTTTCGTTCTGTTCGTTTTCTTCAACTGAAGTGTTCTATGCTGTAGATGTGTCATTTGTCAACACATCAACAACGTCATTGGAATGGTCCAGCCGGATTACTCATTCACTGGAAATTTCATTAAAAGAAAGTCTATACATGTTGCTTTTTTCCCATTAGTGAGAGGTATGCTCAGATTTCCGGACTAGAAAATCTCTCACATCACTATAAAATCTTATAGACCACACAGAACAAGAAAAAAAAACATAGAATACAGAAATTTACTGGAAATTTCCAGAACCTACCAAGAAATCAGAAGCAAAATTCCAAATATTTGCGTAATTGCTCATACACCACAAAGAGATTTCGAGTTAATTTGCGAGATGAGCAATATCTGCATAGATGAAAGTTAATTGAATAAATGCGTAATAGTTAGTAAAAGTAAACTATTGTGAGAATATTCATAAGAATGAATATCAATGAGATCGAAATAAGATCTTCAGGTAATAGTTGTATTGGATGACTTATCGTGTTATCAATATTACGGCTAAAAATACGTATAGTAAGTTCATGTGTTGATTATAAACAATATTTGCTATCTTAAGCAGTAACACGTATCACGTATCATCATTGTTTGAAGTTAGTGATTGCCAATAAAAGACTCCTGTTTGCCCATCAAAGTGACAGATGTTTGTCCTTGAATTACACTATAAATTATATTTGAAGTATATGGGAAATAGTAGTAAAATTGATGGTTGTAGGATTGGAATCATACACAGTAAGAACAAATGATAAATGTATTTAAATTCTGGTAGATTACTTTGATCAATAGAAAATTGAAAAAAAATTTTAGCTGCTATTCTTGATGTTTGTCCATGAGAAATATCATTTGTAAGTGCAATATCATAATAATATGTTTGTTGAGTAAAAGTTCATGTTGATCGATTAGTTAATAATGGATCAATATATTACACGCTGCAAATGTTGAATTTAATTCAAATGCTAGAGGTTTAGGTAATGCAAATGATGAAAGATATACAAGATTTTGATTCGTGTAATTTATCGCTGAATTTTCCATGTCATGATAGAAAAGTCAACGATTTGGATTAATAGTCCATTTGTGTCCGAATTGTCAATGAATTTGTTCAAGAATAAGTATATTAAGAAGAGCAATTATAGTTTCATTTTGTGCTCGAAGATCATTATCTGGATTATTCTTGCTATAAACCAAATAAACCAAATGTATGATTTTGATATGAACTAGCAACTGATAAACCAATGTTAAGCACAACACCGCTTGTTATTGAAATAGGTGTTATTCAAATACTAACATCCATAGACTATGAAAGTGGAAATATACTAAAGGTTCGATTTTGTTCCAAAGTCATTTCAGGAAAGAAGATTACAAGAGAGTTATTTTTTGTAGAAATTGCAGCATCATTCGTTGTATCAAGATTAAGTGTTCCATTATTTCGTTGAATAATCAACATTTCTCGTCTAGAAATAGTAATACTCATATTCTGTGCAAGAACATGATTAGATTTAGCTACAAAACCATGAGTAACAGTAGCACTATTACTGAATCAGCTAGTAAGTGATGCTATTTCGTAGATGAGCATTAAATATAAGATTTTTTGTGCGTGGATTAAAAGCAGTATTGACTGATGTTGAAGAATCAGTCATAGCTAAATAGGTATATTCATTGTAACCATTGAATGTATATGTTGTCCCATCAAGAGTAGTAAAATATGGATTGTCCCCTGTTCCACTCTATGCATTTGGTGAATTACTACTTTAATGATGTGGTTGTAAATGAAAATATGATGCACAAGTTTGTTCCTTTGAATTTAAAATACGACAAGCAAGAAATAGTAATGTATCACTAAAAAAATGAAGCACTAGAGATGATACTAGTTGATAACGATCATCTGTTCCGCCATCTGTTCCACGGGTTATAAGTTGACCAATACCATCATAACAACATCCAACACCTGCATTCAATTGATTGATTGAGCGTGATAAATAACAAGCAACAGCTGATGGTTCATTATAATTAGATCGCTCACGACGAAAACGGCAATTAATTGAGGAATCATAACTATTCATCATACATAATGGATCGGATTCATAAAAACAACGAGTAACACGTGTGTGAGCAAGGATTAATAGATAGAATAATCTACATCTACACTCAACTTCCGCGTAGGAATCCAATAATCGGATTTGTTGACAGAACCCACCTAGCTTCGATCATTTCTGCTTGCAAGTCCTTATAGTATTTTCAGGTTTTTTAGCAGTAACCTAGTGAAAGTTCAGAGATGCGGGCGCCAGAATGTTTCATCTGAAAATATCACTAAACCATTGTCTGTCAATTTAATATGACTATGTTTACATGATCCCAATCGCATTATTGACTCAAGTATATTGCGAACATTCGATATGTCACAACTATTTTTGACTGTCATCGAGACATCACGTATAACTAATTTACATATCGATCTATTGAAAATCAGTAATGTAACCAAAACATCAAAAGTAAGTGGAGATACTCATTACAGTGGTCGCTGGCTCTCTATTTTTGCCAAAAGTTTACTCTTCAATTAATTGATCTATGAACCAGATGAACACTTTCTTCAACATATTTCTGAATGTATCATAATAATAAGTCCGAAAAGTAAAAATCCGTTTTTATTGCAAAACATTTAATAGTCTATCATTCGTAGAGTCAAACTCATTTGTCATAGACTAGTCTTTTGTACACGGATCGATCACTGAAATGTGCGATAAAAATTTTCTTAAACTTAGAATTGTCGGGATGCATCTTATTCATGCTGTTCTTTGTTGCCGTTATCGTAAAACAATGGAATAACAATATGAAGATGGCTTCATTATCACCATCTACTACATTAATATCTGTGATGGAACAAACCTAGATATGAATGACATGACTAAACATTTGCACAGATTCGAAAGACGAAAAAGGAGAAGATTGATTTTTCTATTTATCATGCCCATATTGATTTCAAATTTTTGCAGAATGTCCGTATTTCATCTTTCTTATCTTGATCGCGTACTACTAACAATAGCTTACTTAATTTATGCAAAACTAAATAATCAAAGAAAATCTAATCACTAGATATTGTTTTCTGTTTTTTTAAAATATTTAAAAATTTTATTACACAGCTAATATATATGTGTTTACAAGTGAAAAAAGTATTACTTGGTTTTTTTCAGAAAAAAATTTGAAGTACAGTGAAGTCAAGTCTTTTTTATTTTGAATATTTGTCAGTATTTTTTTTTATAAATACAATGGTACTAAGTTGTTTTCACTAGTAGAATGAAACATATTTCAATTTGCAAATTTCAAAATAATTTAATTCTTGAAATTAAAAGTCTTACTGAATCCTGTGAGGAAACTTTCAAGAAAGAAATAATTATTCGCTTGGAATTTCTGATACATAGATAATATAAATCAGTGGAAAATGTTAGGAATTCACTTTAATTCTGAACATTCAAAATGCATTGCCTATTGAAAACAGTTGAAATACTCAGTTTTTTTTTGAAAAGCTAAGCAACAACATGGGCTAAGCTTAAGTGAATAATTTTTTGCAATCATATCAATGATGATGATAGTTATAATCATAAGCTAAAGTGATCATCAATTATACGGATCAAGTGATACACCATTTGCTCTAACAACATAAAGCGCAATGGATTATTCATTTTGTTTCAAACAATACAAATACATTCGAATATCTACTGTTCAGATTATCATCAAAACTACGCTAGATTTGTCTTTATTTTTGCAATAATATTATAAGGATTTTCGTTGACGATGGACATGTATGAAAGTGGAATGTAGTAAAAGAAAATTTCCAGATGGATAAATTAATAAACAAAGGTTTCGGATGACAATGTAGGAAGTATACATTGATGACTCATCATTGCGTTTGACGTAGGAAGCAAAGAAAAGAAACATATGACAAAAAAGGAAGTAAAAAAAGGGTTTGTCATATATTTGAATAGAGTAAAAGAGAAAATAAGCTTTTTTTCACGTAATTTATAATATATTTTATTGATATCAAAGCCAGATACGAGAACGAATAAATACTGACTATCAAGAGTATTCTATTATCTATTTAATATTTTTTATATTTATTCAAAAGAACAACGCGAAAGAAATGACATATAAGTATGAATATATGGATGAATCATCCATCGATATTAGTCTTAAATGTGTTATCTGTTCTGATCCTTATATAAATCCTTGGTCAACACCATGTGATCATACTTTTTGCCGATCTTGCATTACACAGTGGATTGAAGAAAATGATCGATGTCCTGTATGTAGCAAAAAACCCATAACAATACAAGGTTTAAAAGCAACAAATCGTGTTGTGTTCGATATACTTGATCGTCTTCTTGTTCGATGTAAAGCTTGTCGACAAACAAATATTCAACGAGGCAATTTCGATGAACACTCAAATAAATATTGTTTAAAAACCTTTGTTTCCTGTTCAGCTTCAGATCTCAAATGTCCTTGGCAAGGGCCACGAGATGACTTACAAGCTCATTCTACTATATGTTCTTATGAAATGATGAGACCACTTTTTGAAAATATGATAAGTGCTATGAATATCCTTTCTGAAAAAGTTCAACAGTATGCAAATCAAACTAAAGAACATGAAAATCGTATAAATTTACTGCAAATCGAAAATAATCATTTAAAAGATGAAGTCAATTTACTTCAAAACCTCTATACAGAACAAACAACCGAATTGAAAAATCTGACTTCTGCCGATGCACAACGACAAGACATTTGTAATCGACTCAATGAAAGAATGCAACTTATGCAAGTTGTCTCAAGTAAGTTCTTTTGTATCGAATATCTTTATTTTAATGAATAGTTAGTAAAATAATCAATGGTGATTTGAAATTCTTTATAATTTCAATATTTCAGATCCAAATGTTAATCATAATCCACGTCTTGAAGAAATATTTTCTCGATTTCATTCTTATTCCACTATAACCCTCAATGATTTACGAATAGATAATTTTGATATACCTTTTATTATACGTAAAGCATTGATTATGAAACAATGTTCGGTTTTACATCTAAGAAATAACTTTATTGACACTACTGGAATTGAACTCTTAGCTATTGCATTACGATCCAATGTTGTACTTAAACGACTTTCTCTCAAAGGCAATCGAGCAGGACCACAAGGTGTGGAATACTTAACTAAAGCATTACGTACCAATACAACGCTTGAAGTACTTGAACTTGAAACCAATGATATTCCTGATATGGCTGCTATCTATTTGGCTGATATGCTTCGTCATAATTGTACATTAAAGGATCTTTTTATTGGTTACAACTTCTTTGAAAGCCGAGGAATGGAAATAATGGCAAATAGTCTTGATAATCAAAGTACTCTTGAAATACTTAGTTTAACTGGAAATAGGCTAGACGATAAATGTATCAATGCAATTGAAAAAATGCTTAACAATAATAAAAAATTACAACAACTTGATTTACATGAAAATAAACTTTCATTGGAAGGCAAAACACGACTCCTGTATATTGGTAATGTTAAAAAAGGATTTAAACTAAATATTTAATCGATTCAACTGTTTTTGTCTTCTTTTGCATTGAATTTTCAATGATATAATCATAAAAATCTGACAATATGACTTTATTATCATTTTTTTCTTCATCTAAAACTTTTTCTTAATTAAGAGAAATAAATTTTCAATAAGTATAAGCTATTTATGTATTGTTAATCTTCGTATCTTGACATTGTTGATTTTAGTCTATCAATAAGTCTTTTTTTCAGAGTTTTTAAAAAATTTTATCTTATCCTTTGTTTAAAAAAAAACAAGTTACGAATGTAAGAAAATTATGACCTCATCTATTGTTTCTTTGATTTTGATAGATTTTAGTAGCTAATTAGACTTTGAAATAAGATACCACAATCTAACTACATGAGACACTTGTTTTTGATTATTGACAGAGAATTAAACAGTACTTGAACATATTTTAATAAATAACAATTAATATTTTCAACTTAATTCCATTTTATGGCTCAGAATTTGATGCATTATCATGTGATTTGGTGAACTAACAATAGAGATTTGTAGTATACATTCACAGAGCCTTAATGCATTCGTCAACATGTAATGACTTATGCATCGTGCTAAAAAGCCATCGATGAAATAACTTTGACTTTTGAATGCAGAACCTACACCGAAGTCATTAAAAATATGTCATTCTAGTCGAATAATATATAACAATAAATTGAATGTCTTAATTAGTTCAAGAAGTACTAAACAGACAGCCTAGCGGATTATGTTATCAAAGAGAACATTGCTTTGTAACATTATCTTTTTGTTTGTGACTTTATTTATTTGATAGAAAAGTGTTCAGAAGAAATGATCAAGTGACAAAAATACCGCATCTAAAATTACTTATAAGAGATCATAGAAATGGGTCGTATTATGTTTTGGAAGAAAAATAGAACCAAGACGTGGCAAAACATGCATTTGTTCATAATTGTTATTGTTTCATTACTACAGTTCGATTAGGTAAAAATCAAATAGCATGCTCATATCATTACATGTTCTGAGATGGTCTCGATGTTCTATATGCAAGTGGCGGTAAACCCTGTCTAGCCAGGAGATCAAACATAGACGATTGTGAAGAAGTCAGACCACCTGTGTTTGCATTCAT